TTCATCAACTCTCATCTTGCTGATGTCTTATGCTTCCTCTATAGCAGTTACTTTCATGTCAAATCTCTTGGGGAGAGATTTGAGAATTTTTCTTACCAGCTTTTCTTCTGTCATCTTTTCTCCTAGGGCGCTTGAAGCATTAACTATTTCAAGAATGTTCATATGAAAGTCATGTATGCTTTCATCATCTTTCATTCTCAGGTTTTCAAACTTAGTTGTGAGTAGTTGAAGTCTAGACATTTTCACCTTGGATGTGTCTTCATAAGTGGTCTTTAGTATCTACCGTGCTTCTTTAGCAATTACACAATTGTTCACCAACCTGAATATGTTCCTATCAATTCCATTGAACAAGGCATTCAAGGCCTTGGAGTTTCCCAGAGCCAGATCATCTTCTTCCTTTGTCCATTCTTCCTCAGGCTTTAATTCAGAAGTAGCCTTTCCATCTTTATCAATAATCGCAGGTTGTTCCCATCCCTTTATGACAACTTTCCATGCCTTACTGTCCAAAGATTTTAAGAAAGCAACCATCCTTGGTTTCCAATAGTCATAATTACTCCCGTCCAGAATAGGTGGTCTGTTCATAAATCCTCCTTCTTTGTCCATGGTACCAGAAAGTATTGTCCCTAGATCTTCACCCAGAACTAGAGCAGGATGCCTGCTCTGATACCAATTGAAATTCTGGTATCAGATATTAGATGTCGAAGGTGATGTTTACGACACAAATATCTATTCAATCAATAATAAGAACAAAGATAAACATAAAACAATTGTAAAGAGACACAACAATTGTTAACCCAGTTCGGTGAAAACACACCTACGTCTGGGGGCTACCAAGCCAGGAAGGAAATTCACTAAGTAGAATTAGTTTGAAGATATACAGTAGACTCTCTCTAGTTTACCATCTTCTCACCTAATATCCACCCTTTCAATTTTTATCTAGGACACACCTAGATAAGAGACACTTCTAACTCCCATTTAATCAAAGCAATGATTACACCAACAATTAAAAGACTTTAGAAGACACTCTTCAAAGACACAACTTGATCTTGCTTAAAATCTTCAATCAAGTACAATACACTCTTTCTTACAAGCTTTGAATGAAAAAAATACAATGCAAAACTTAGACCAATTCACACATTAAGATAATGAGTGAATGGCTCACAAATTACTAAAACAAACGAAAGTTAATCCTTACACAAATGCATACACTTTAATCCTAGCTTCTCTGATCTTCAAAGCTAGGGTTTGCACATCCTTAAATAGTAATACTGAACGGGCTTGGGCTGTGGCAAAAGTAGGAGTAAAATAAGATGGAAAACTCAAGATGTATGTGAGGAATTTCTAAACAAATATGTTGAGGCTGGAAATTTTGTGAACAAGTTTGCTGACTGAAGTAGGAGTAAAATTTCTGAAACCTTTTGAAAACCACAAGTTTTTGAAGTTTATTGGATTGAATAATAAGTATAACCCTGATCAAGTTAAGGTTTTATACTACAATTTTAAGGTGTCTATTAATGGTCTTGAATGCATATTTTGTAATCAGGTCATTAAGTTTACTCTAGATGATTTCAAGCATCATTTTGGTTTATAATCTAAAGGCAATGTAGTATGTATCTCAAATGCATCTGATTTGTATTATAGAACAGACACATTAATTATTTAATGAATCTAGAATGGTGAAGTGTCTCTTATAAAAGGACTAGAGAGAGTAGCTGATTATGTTTAGAACATTTCTAAATATGTGAACAAGGATTGTTTGGACCTTGCAAATTTTCACATTAGTCAAGTTAAGTTTGAGATAAGAATTCTACATTGGATTGTTGTTAAGATTTTGTTTCCTAAGCCACACAATTGAGCAAGGGCTAATGATCATGACTCTTATCTGATGTGGTTTCTTCTTAAGTTTGATCAATGCAATTTAGTTAAGTTTATTCTAAACATGATTGAGTACTTGAGGAGTTATCCAAAAAGATCTTTGTTTTTCTCTTCCTTCATTCAGTATATTTTGGAACTAAATGGTGTCATCTCCGTTAAAGAAGATTTGGTTAAAACACCGAAGTATATTGATTCAATTATAATCAAGTTGATGAATTACTTTCAAGATGAGAAAGATATGTATTATTATCTGAGCAAATTTGATAAGTTTGTTTATGAGGATGAGACTGAAATCCCTAAATTTGTTGCGGCCAAAAGGAAGAAGAAATCTTTTTATGCTTCTAGTCAAGCTGCTTATGATCATGTTGGTTCATTTTTATCTACTACGTCTCGTTCTTTTGGTGGTTTTCTATCTTTTGATACCAAGGCACTATTTGATGCTTTGGTTAGCAAAGTTTTAACAGATTCTTAAGCTAGAAAGACTCACATCCATGCTCATATTGTTATGGTTGCAAAAGAAGTGAAAGAAAGAAAAGAGAAGATCTGAGAGGAAGTTAAGGTAAGCGAAGAGAAGATATTATCTGGGCTAGTTCCTGTGAAAGGTTCCATAGATCACATTCAATCTTCTACACTGATGTTCAACCTTGGAGATAATGATGAGGCTCCAACACCTTCCTCCACTGATTTTCATTAGTCATTCATGCATCATGTCATAATATGACACACATTTTATCTTCATCTTGTTTATTTCTAATTTTAAACTTATATTAGTACCATATATTGTTTTTGGATATTGAGTTAGATATTGCTACCGGTGTTATATATTTTGTGGCATGAGTTGTCCATCTTTTGATATGATCTGCTGTTTGCTTTGATCCATTTTTTATATCTCTTATCTCTTATAATTTTCTAAAATTATGTCTGTTGTGACTATGCATGTCTGCAAGTTTCTGGCCTAATTAGTTTGAATGTATGAGACTACATTTTAGGCTTTATGTTTATCATTGCTATATGCTTACATTTTTTTCTCTCTCTTTTTGATATTTTTCAAAGGGGGATAAGTTGTTGAGACATAATCCATAGTTACACCTAATAAGTTTTAATATAGGGAGAGCATGAGTGCACAAGTCTCAAAGTGTATAATATCATCATGTTGTTCTGTTCAATAAAACCAAATTCACGAATTTTTTAATACGACTTAAAATTCATATAATCGCTTAAATCACCAACAATATCTTCAAAATTTCCAAACATAAAAATGGGGTTGAGTAGAATAAGAATGAGATCGTTACTAGAAATAAAACACAATTTATAGCACAAGACTATGCTTAAATCTAAGGGGTTGACTTTGATAAAGCTTTTCCTCCCATTTCTTGTCTTGAAGCCATCAATTTTTACTAAAATTTTCTTGTCTCTTTAAGTTCTAACTTTACCAGCCAGATGTGAGAGAGCATTCTTCTATTGGTACTTGAATGTGGAAGTCAGTCAGGACGCTATTAGTGATATCAATGACATGAATGTGTCATTGAGAAGGAGGATTATGTCAAATTCAGTTAGGATGCTAGTAATGATATCGACAACATGGAAGGTTTCATTGTGAAAGACAATGAAAATCTTATGATAATTAATATTTATGTTGATAACATTGTGTTTCGAGGGATGTCAAGTAAGATGTTAGATCATTTTGTTCAACAAATGCAATATGAATTGAAGATGAGCATGGTAGGAGAACTTACATACTTTCATGGTTTTCAAGTAAAGCAAATGAAGTATGACATCCTTGTTTCCCAAAGTAAGTATCCTAGAAATATTGTGAAGAAATTTGGGTTGGAAACTGGTAGGCAAAAATGTACACCTATTGTTACTCATGTCAAGCTCTCTAAAGATGAACAAGGTGTGGCTGTTGAAAAGCTTGGCAACTTCTTATATCTCATTGTCAGTTGTCTTGACATTACTTTCTCTGTTGGGGTGTATGCTCGCTTCCAAGCCAATTCTAAGATTAGTTATCTTATTCAAGTCAAGAGAATTATTAAGTACATAAGTGAAACATGTGACTATGGTCTTTTATACTATTTTAATACCAAATTTTCACTAGTTGGATACTGTAACACTGACTGGGTGAAATAAAGTATATTGTTGTTGGAAGCAATTGCACTCAACCATTGTAGAGTAACCAAATGGTCAATGATGTGACACAGGATGTCATGAAGTTATCCTGTGGGAACCACACTAAAAAAAGTGATTATGTTTAAAATTTCAAAAAGACTATACTTTTTATTTTCGCTTCCACACTATAAACTAATATATGAATCCTCAATTTCCTTTGCGAAGCTCTTGAATCAATATGAAAGCATGGTAGGAATAAGAAAAATGATGAACACTTATAGTAAATTCAAAGAAGACATTGTAGAATAAAATGCACGAAATATCAATAGACGTAGTTACGAAAGCTCATGGAGATCGTGCGAAAGGTTTCGTGTTTAGAAGAAATACAGATGATAAGTCCGGAGGTAAGGATATTTCTTGATTAATAATAAAATGTATATTTAAAATACTTAAAATTTAGTAATTTAAACTTATTAATATAAATATATTTTTTATATTATTATTAAAATAATTTTACTAAAATTTTATTTTAAAATTTTATTTATTCAATTTTATATTTTATAAGAGAATTAATATTTTACATCAAAGTGTATATTTATAATAGTCAACCTAATTTAGTTTTTTCTCAATGATAAAAAACGATCCAAACAACTTAAGTTTGAGAATAATGTAACTAGAAGTTGCAAAGAAAAAATAGTTTAGTAAAATACAAAGAATTTGTTGAGGAAAAAGCTAAGTGGGGGAAAAGTATTTAGGAAGGCAAATTAGTAATTTCGTAAAAGAATGAAAAACATCGTGTTTTTGCCGCATATATTTTAATTTACTTATTAATATTATTATTAATAATTATTAAATCAAAGCAAAACACAACCTGTTCTTCCCTATATATATGCCGTCAAAGCCGCTCCAAACTTCCGCAATTTTCCTCTCTCTTCCTCTTCACCACAAATTCACTTTCTCAAAATAAATCTCTATTTTGTATAAATTCTTGAAAAGTCTCTCAACTCTCAACCGCGATTATGAAGAAATCCGGCCTCTTCGCTGCCTCTGTCGCCGCCGCATCCGCCACCGCCGTCTCCGTTTCATCCTCCACAAACAACTCTCATCATCAGGTACCTACTTTGGAACTTTTTCTTTACCTGTAAATCCTGGATCTGGCGATATCTTGAATGTAAATTGATTTTGTTTTTCGAAATTCGTGTTTTCAGGGCGGTACGGCTGAGAGAAGAGGTCGCGATGAGGTTTCCTCGTCGGAGAAATTTGCGCCGCGATTCGATGGGTTGCGTTTCATAGAAACGCTGATAACTGCTCATAGATGAAAGGGGTTAGGGTTTCACCTATTTATTCACCGATTCGGGGTTCGGAATTTTCTCCGTCATCTGTTTCTTCGTCTTGTGTGGTTTAGAGAAGAAGATTTCACTTGTTGGAAATATTTCTTTTAGTTTTTCTTTTTTTTTTAATTTTCTTTTAGAATTAATAGCAGAAACAGAAAAAAAATATTTGTTATGTCACATTATTTGGTGCTTTTCTTTTTTGAAACCCTATATGAGGGTAATGAAAAATAGAAGTATAAGATTCTGGGTGATTATTTTTGTGATTATACTTTTATTTTATTTTTATTCATTTATTTATATTTTTCTCTTGCTTTATATTAAAAAAAAAATTAGGCATTTGATGAAATATTATTAATTTACAAAAAAATTATTTATAAGTTTCCAAAAAGTCCAAATGGTGTGAAAAGAAAGTAAAATTATATAGGGGACTTGCATCATCATCGTTGTCCACTTGTAAGTACAAAGAAAGTGCATAGTTGCTCGTTTCTACAGAGTCGATATATATAAAATTAGAATTATTATCTATATAAAAACTAGATTAATTAGTTGTTCAATGTAAAAAATAAAAAACAATTTTAGATGGTGTAAATGTTTGATTAGATAAATGGTAGGTGGAATTAAAGTAATCAAGGTAGTGAAATACAATATTTGTTTTGCAATAATGATGGTGATGGTTGTTTGTTAGGGATAATCTCCCTATATGCATGGAATATTCTTTCCGAATTAGTAGTAAATTTTGTTGTTTGTGATGATGGAACAATTTTATATATTTTGCCACTGTGCGTGTTGGGTAAGCAGCTATTACCTGGTATATTCTTTTGTTTAACGTCTTACAAAATTTCTGAATCTGATTCTTCAAAATAATTTATATGAATCAAATAAGAATATGGCAATTTGCCAAATTTATTTATTTATTGCTTTATTTTATGCAAAGGAATTTTGATGACCATGTTTTCATGAATGACCGGAATGCCCTTAGGTGTGGCATGAGCTTTTAAACAATGATGTAAGGTTATTTATGGTTGTTACATGAAAAAGAAGGGTAATGAAAAATCAAATGATGTTTTTGTTCTCTTTAAAACCTAGGTTTTTCATACAAAAGTTTTATATGTGTATGATTCAATGTTTTTCTTATAAAAAATTATATTAGACCGGTACTCGTGGGATGCATGCGATTAATACCATATATGATGGAGTTGGGGTTATCGTCTGCCCTACAAATACATAAAAAATAATAGTGAGCCCCCTAATAATACGAGAAAATCATTCGCCCTCAACAAAATATAATAAGTGCTGTATTATTTGGTTTACTTATAATATAATAAGTTGGCGATAACCACCAAAATACAAATAGTTTTAAAGTATAAGAATTAATTTACAGACTATTGAAAATACAAATTAAAATCTAACATGAACAAACAACGAGCAACAAAATAGAAATAGAAGACTAACACTGTGACTATGTTTGAATATTATAAAATGAATGGAGCGGAGTAGAATGAATATCTTATTTTATTGTTTAAAAATTTTAGAACGGAATATAACAAATTATTTATTCCGCTCAAATTGGAGGGAAAGAAATATGATGGTAGATGATGAAGTGAAATTGAATTCATACTACTCCATTCGACTCTGCTTCATCGAATTTTAAATAATCCAAACAATAAAATATAATTTTATTCCATCTCATTCCACTTCGCTTCATCTGATTCCATCAATCCAAACAAAATCTATACAATTAAAATTAAAATTTATACGGTTAGAATTATCATCAACAAATCAAAACTCATCAAAAAAGCAATAAACTACAAATAAATATTTATCGTTCCTAAGTTAAAAAGACAAAGTACTTAAGTTCGCTCCTAAATCTATCTAGAAACTGAAAAAAAGAAAAAAAAATTTATAAAAAACTTTGATTTAGGTTTTGACTAAAACAAAATTAAAACTTTAGCAGGAAAATTTAATATAAAGAGACTTTTTAAAATTTTAAATAATTTCACAAGTTACATTTAATGAAATTTTACGAAATTTTATTAGAATTTACAATGTGACTTGTGAAATTAATGTAAAGAGATTTTATGAAATTTTAGTGAAATTTTTAATTTTTAAATTTGAAATAATATTCCTTGTAGTTTTAGTTTATATGAAATTTTATTTCAATATTTCTTTTTAAGATGTTCTAAGAATCCTCACTCCGACAAAAACATTAATATATGCTTATTTAACTTTTTTACATTTAAATTTATGGGTTAAATATTATTAAAAATTAAAATTAAAATTTTTGTATGTAAGTATTATTTAAAAAATTTAATTAAAAATAAATATAATATTTTAATAAATATACGTATGAATTTTATTTTGGATGTTTTAAAAAGATTAATTTTAATTTTAATTAAATATGTTTTTTTTTACAAAGAGGGCCTAACGACCGAAATAGAAAAATAAAAGACTAATAAGCTACTGTAACACGTCTAGGGAGCAAGGTCACAAATTTATCATCATCTAAAATGACATCGAACTCATTCAATATGAGATTTGGAAGAATAAAGAGATCATTATTGTTCAATGTAAGATTATAATTGGCTATCTAATCTGCACCATGATTTCCTTTCCGTCAAGTATGGTTGAAATTGTTGTGCCAATTCTTTTGAGTGATCCTTCTAATTTTACGAGGTAAAGTTGTGACGTTTTTCTCCTCCCTAACCACCTGATATTCATACATGTCAAGAGTTTAAAGTAACTCTCAACCATCAGATTTGTAATTCTCTCAATAGTCTTTGTGTGAAATTACATTATTTCCTTCAAGATTGTAAGAGATCCAATCCTACAAAACAAAGAGTAAAAATGAATCATTTTATTATAAGGAATAAGTATAATCCATACATGTGTGGCATATAAGCAATCTCAAAGCACATGAATTAAGTTCTCTTCTTTACTTGTACACCACTTGCAATCCCTATATGTAGTTGGATTCCACATATGACACCAAAAGTTAGTCAAAAGTCTCTCATGAATTACAAGCCAAGGAAAGTATGGATCTAATGGGGACTTTTCAATTTTCAAATGATATTCCAATCAATACGCGTTTCCATGACATCCAAAGAAGAAAGATATTTATAGGCATTACCCACAAAAGAACTTGTTGTCTCTATAATTCCCATAGTTTATCCTATCCACGCCATCTCCAGGGAGAGAATGAGTGTTCTGGGCTGGGCCTGCGGCTGCCCCAACGTCGAGCACAACCCAATATGGTCCTACATGTTAGAACAAGATTTGGTTCAACATCCGTATCTCTAAGTTTTGATGATAACAAGTCAGTATTTGTGTGAGAACAATTTCGGTACCCTAATTGTTTGTTATTGTGTATCTTTAGCAAACAACTTTGATTCTGACTCTTAAACATGAATCGTTACAAGTTTCTGAATATATTGATCTATATCACTTTTGCTCAAACTCACAAATGAGAAGCTTCTAAGAAAACTGTGTGTTGCTGCTGCAACGTTCTCTTGGCTCTTGCTTTTGACGTGTTACTCTGATCAATTCATTTCTGAAGACTGCTCAAGCTTTCGAAGATTAAACACTGAAGGTTCTAAAAAACTCTAAAGAATCTAAAGTCAGATATTGATGTGATCAAGCTTCTGATTGATGATTGGAGTTTCTTAACTCAAGCAAAATCAACTCTTCTAACTCATACTTCAAATAACGATTTATCCAGAAGCCACTGAAAAATAGAAGATAAGAACGAGTTTATACGTAGAAAAAATAGTACATGGAACAAACCAATATTTCTTCCACTAAGCGGATTTCGTGGAGTAAGGAAATTGAGGTAGTATGATTCTTGTCCCCACTGTATCAAACTGTTACTCAAGTCGCTAGCTCATTCATGAAAAATACCAGATGTACCCTTCAACAAATCATTTTTTACTGGATCTATAAAGACTTGAAGACTTGAATAAATACATAAAAAGGCTTTGAAAGCAAGCAAGCGAAATAACGAAGAATTTTTTTTTAAGAGTATTGTGATTTTAACTTTTTATACCTGCTTGTGCAGAAGCAATCTTTGTAAACACAACTTTGTAATCAAACTGTTGTTTGTATTTCCTTAAAGGACCAGTTAGGTCAGAATCCTTGAGAAGACATATACAATGTGTCTTTGTGGTTTGTTAGTCACCAGCGGTTGCTAGTACAGTTGTAATCAAACTGTTGTTTGTATTTCCTTAAGGGACCAGTTAGGTCAGAATCCTTGAGAAGACATAGACTGCGTGTCTTTGTGATTTGTTAGTCACCAGCGGTTGCTAGTGCAATTGTAATCAGTTGATTATAGTAGATTAAGTCCTTGGGTATAAGGCGAAATCACCTTGGCGGTGGACTAGATTAACTTTGAGATTTTCAAGAGAACCAGTATAAAAATCGAAGTGTATTTTTCTCTTTGTTGTTCATTAGCCGTGATTTTTATTGAGTGAGTAAAAAGCTTTTATTTTTGAAAACCCCAATTCAAATCCCCAATTTCTTGTATTTTTCTCACCTTCAATTGGCATCAGAGCTCCGATTTCGATTGTGATAAAAGTTTATCAAACACTTATTTGTGTTCAGTACCAATCCAATGTGCGTGTGTGTGTTAGAGAGAGAAATAATGGCGGCTGCCACTATTCCAGTAGAGAGAGATCGCTACAGTGCCAAACTACCAGTCTTTGATGGTGACAAGTTTGACTATTGGAATGATAGAATTGAAAGTTTCTTTCTTGGCTATGATGTATGTAACACCCTTTTTCTACCCCAAAATTATCAAGGCAAAATAACACATAAATCAGAGTGAATAAATAAATCTAATTAAAAACCCACAAAAGGGCGTACATTTTTCAAAGTCAACAAAATTGGTCAATACTCCGTAACGACAAGTTTTCCTCAAAGTACATCAAACATCATAAAACAGCGGAACTCAAAGCATAAATCAAGGTTTCTCTTCAAAAGGGAACATCAGTAAA